TTTATTATACAGACATTTAAAAATGTCTTAGAAATTATAATTTAAACAATAAAATGCAAATAATAAGCATAGAGATCAAAAATATCCATTTGGAATATTGAATATTATATATATTAGTAAACGCATAAAATGTCTCTAAAAATCTCTAAATTTATTAAAAACCTGCTTAAAATGTTAAAATTGTATCAAATCATATAAATACAAGGCGATTATATTGCAATAACAAAGATAAATAACATTTGTAATATAATAGAAAAAATGGATTAAAATTTTCTAAGTTGATGAAGGTGTTCGTGTAATAATTGGAAAATTTCTAAGTTAATGAACGTGTTCATGTAATGTTCCCTTATATTGGGGCGTTGTCGGAGACACATACCCAAGGTTGTACATATATATGGGGTGGTCGGCTGACCGACTGCTAGTACTAAGGTTGCACAATGACTAGTCCTATATTAGGGACTTAACATAGTAAGGTCTGACGAACCAAAGCATTAATATAGAAGGTCTCTATGATGCATAAGCATTATGATAGCAGAGTTATGACTTGAAGTCCCATATGAATAAGACATACAGTAGTATGGTCTATGAAATAAAGCAAATATGTGGAAGGTCTCAAATATGTAAAAGCATTATATTGAAAGAAATGGGACTTGAAAAGGATTATTATAGTGGCGTGTAGGTTGCTTCGCAGCCTCTGAGACCGAGGTAAACTTGGACTCACTAACCGATGTGTCCTAGACATATCATCTTAGTGCCGGTGGTAAGCGAGTTTGTTGTAGCAATACGACTTGCCCGTGGACATCGCACACCCCTACCGGTTGTGGGCGGCGTCTTAGCGCATAGCGTTATGATACGTCGGCTATCTTTCGGATTAGGGTGAGTGTGTTTGGTAGTACTTTTAAGTGCAGCAAGCATACTCAACTTCATGTCTTAGTGCAATAGCGCTATGATACGTGGAGTTTTGGCTACTGACGTCTTAGTACCGTACTACTATGATACGTTGGTGGTATTTTTAGTTAACAACATTATCAAATTTTGTTACCAAAGTCGATAGGGATCATGTGGGTGTGTTGTGAGGGGGCGCCATCCGTATGATAGCTGCATTGATGCTTACTGCTACTTGCAGTATTGTGTCTTGTGATGGATCTGCGGGTGTGCTGCACCTGATTCGATGCATCTTGTGGTTCTGGTCGATGGAGGTCTGCGGGTGGTGATGTCTGCTGGGACTGTATGGGGGACCTTGGGATGGTGTAAGCCCGACGATAGTCGTATTGATGCTTGTTGCATTCTGTAGCATTGCGTCTCTACGATGGTTGTTTGGCGGGTCGCTATTCTCAATGGCGCTCTCTGCGTCTTGGTTTGACTCACAACCTAAGTAGCTTTGCCCAAGTCGGGTCCCTTCATTGCGGGGCTGCAGACTGTCTGCCCTCCATGATGTTTTATATAACAACTTAATAATATATCTCTATAAAGTTCCCACCTTTGAGAGATTGAAGGCAACTTGTTGGTGGGTGAGACAAACATGATCGAAAAATGCATATACTCAACGTCAGTGACACAAACCCTTTCTGATGGCGAATTATTACTATTATCTTATAACTGCCTATTGGCTATATCTGCCATTGTATTGGTTGGTGGAGCATATGTGTTGACCTCATGCGGGTGGTAGCTGAAGGGAGAATCTGAGGAGGCTCTCAAGGCTGCGGCCGAAAGCCGCGCAACGTGGGACCCCATTCCCTTGAGGTGAGCGGTAGACTCATGACACGCTCTGCGGCCAATTGGCCGTGCTGACCATGCAATTGGTGGTGATGCCTTACACTTACATCACGTCTGCAGGAACGGCGGTCTGGCAGGTGGTGGCGCTCACGGAAGGCTTTTTATGGTCAGTGTGCCTATTGTTGCCTAACCCGTGTGACGTACATTCACTGTGGCTGGATTTGATCGTATTCTGTATGGCGTTTACACGCATTGACATGCGCGACTTCGGTCGATGTTTGTGCTTACGCACTATCAAGGGGCCAAGTCCTCTTTTACTGGTTCGCCAGTTATTTTGCTGTGGACTACGGTCCAGTTCCCAACTTTGCGTACCCTTCGGGGGGAGCGCATTAAAATGGTTGGCGCTCACCGTGCGCGGCGTGTGTGGGGCCGTGTACCTCCTCCACATTTTTTTTAAAATGTGGGAGAGCGAAGCCCTTGTAACTGGTATTTGATATAAATATTGTGAGCCTTTTCCAAGCGGGAAGGGATTAATTAATAAGGAATTGACTGTTGTGAACCAGATACAAGTGGAATAGGGACAATTTATTGTTCTTAACCTTTTTGAGTTCTGTCTTCGTGAACGGGGTTCTTTAGCTTATAAGACTCTACCACCAGCTTTCGATTGCTCTCGTGAATATTCATTCTTCCAAGATACACCTAAAAGAACTAAGTTACTATACAAACACAACGTAAAAAAGGGTCCTAACTAAGACGATCACGCCATAAATTTATTAAACGGCCTATATTTAAACCTTTAGAAAGATCAAGTTATACTGGTCACGTAAATTAGATGTATTTATATATCTTACAGATATAGATTCTAAAGAAATACAAGTATAAGTGGGATATAGTAGAAAAGAAAAAAGATGGGGGGGGGGGGGTTCGTTACAATTTGGTGCCGTGACCAGGATGGAGGTTAAATTTTAAATAGGAGGCCGGTAATATAAAATTATGAGGTAGGCTATATGCCTACAATTTGTTGTCCGTGAAATGGAGAGGTGTCTTGGAGAGTGGTGTTTGCTGGGGGTGGTTGAGAGTCTGGGGGTGGGGCTTAAATATTCAAATTGAGTAATAATATAGGTGTGTGCATAACGGAGCGAAATAATAAAAAGTGAAATAAGTGGAAAGACTCAATTAAACTAAGTGAAGGACACAACAGGTGTAAAAAAAAAAACTGCAATACTATATATTATAAAGTGAAATAAGTGGAAAGACTCAATTAAACTAAGTGAAGGACACAACAGGTGTTAAAAAAAAAAAAACTGCAATACTATATATTATAAAGTGAAATAAGTGGAAAAACTCAATTAAAGTAAGTGAAGGACACAAAAAGTGTAAAAAAAAAAAAAAAAAAACAAGTGGTAATAAAAATTAAAAATGGCTAAAAATAAGAAAAAATCAACCTCAATTAAGGCTAAGCCTAAAGATGAGATGAAAATGCTTCAGAAATTAATTAAGAATGCAGTGAAAACCTTTGAGTTTAAAATAAAGGATCTTGAGGAAAAATTTATTAACCAAACGAAAGATTACCAAATTAAAATAAATCAAGGAGAGGTGTCCGGGGCGAGCACCTCTCATGTAAATGATCCTAGACAAAATATTGTATATAATGTACATAATGTAACAATAGAAAAGCCGAAATTTGGAAATGGAAATACTCATCCAGTATCATTTTTGGAAGATCTCACCAATTATTTAAAGAAAGTTCCATCTAATGGTCTCGAAATTTCGATTGCACAAGAGTGCTTAGTAGGTGAAGCCAAGTATTGGGCTCGCATTAATAATGTGCGTTGGACAACTTTTGATGATTTTAAAGCTGACTTCCTAAGAGTGTTTTGGGGTGAAGAAGAACAAAATAAAGTAAAGAGATTCCTTGTACAAAATAAATGGAATAGAAGTACACACCCCACCATGATTAGTTATTTTCTTTATGTGGTTGAGAAGGCACAAACATTATCATATCCGATACCTGAAAAACAATTAGTAACTGATGTCATCAGACATTATCCTAAAACTGTGCAGCAATTATGGAGAATAGCTAAAATTGAGACAATAATAGACACGACAGATTTCTTAAGAAACTTAGATGACATCGACAAACAAGATGAAGGTCGTGAACCTTACTATAATGAGAAAAGGAGGAAGTTTAATAATAATACGGAGCAAAAACATAAAGAAATACAACAATCATACAAAACATGGCGTAAACCCGAAGAGGGAAAAAAGAAGGTTAATGAAGTACATGAAATACATTTCACTAATGACCAACCTGATGTTACGGCTCCTGAGCCAAATTTAGAGCTGTAGAGGTCGAACTAGTTCCCGATTCGACCCCTTACAATGTAAAAGGGAACAAAGCATTAAATATGTTATTAAAACTGGGTTGGCGACCTGGTCAAACATTGGGTAAAAACAATAGAGGGTTGCGAAAACCTATTACTTTAAAAGCAAATTTTAACAGAGAAGGCCTTGGTTATAACGACAATGTAAATAGCATATTAAACACCTCAAAAGCCAGGTCGGACTTGCCCATAACGGAGTTATTCGTGCAAACCGTCTTCGAGGAAGACGAAGATAAATATCTAAGGGAATTTATAGGGAATATGAGATCTGAAATTAAAGTTTCAATATTTGACAAAGAAATAGACGCGCTCCTCGACACTGGGAGCGATGTTACATGCATTTCAGAAAGTTTATATTTACAAATTAAAGAAAATAATCGTAAAATATCAATAATGCCAGTTAAAGCAATGCAAATAAAAGGTGCTGTTGGGCAGCGCAGCACAAAAATACAACAGATGATCATATTGCCTATAAAGATAGATGAAGTAGTCTTTGAAACACAAACTTTAATTGTAGGTAATTTAATAAGACCTTTAATATTAGGCTTTGACTGGCTCAAGAGAAATAAAATATTGATTGATTTGAGAAATACTACTGTTGGAATAGAATTTAAAGTGAAAAACAAAGACTACTTTATACCTTTCAAATATAATAATAAATCTGTATTACATAATAACTGCATCAAACAATGTACCGATGATCCCTTAATAAATATAAAAATAGGATCTACATTGGAGGTCTCTGAAAGGGCAAAACTTAGTAAGGTTTTGGAAAAGCATAAGAATATGTTTTCGAGCAAATTGGGAAGAGCCAATTGCTATGAGCATAAAATTGAAATGATCGATGATGAACCTATAGTTACTAGGTCCTATCCCATTCCATATGCATATAGAGCGAAAATGGAAGAAAAGTTAAATGAAATGGAACAAGCTGGTATCATCACAAGGACATCAACGCCTTACAGTAGTCCATTGACATTCACTCTTAAAAAAGACGGCTCAATTAGAGTTCTGCTTGATGCCAGAAGCATAAATAAGAAAATGGTTGCAGAAACAGAGAAACCACCTATACAATTAGATGTTTTGAATTCATTTCACGGAGCGAATTATATCACTACCATTGACTTAAATAATGCATATTTTCAAATTCCGATAAATAAAGATGGTAGAAAATATACTGGATTCACATTCAATGGAAAGTCATATGTATATAATGTTTTGCCGCAAGGATTAAAAACATCAGTAGGAAGCTTTAGCAGAGCCATGAATTTAATATTAGGACCAGAAGTCCAAGAATTTTGTGTGAACTATTTAGATGATCTAGCCATTATTACAACAGGAACGTTAGATAAACATTTGGAGCACATTGATATTGTTTTAAGTAAATTGAACAAAGCTGGCTTAACGTGTAACTTGCAGAAATGTGAATTTATTTGTAAAGAAATTAAAATGCTGGGTTTTATAATTTCAACAGAAGGCATAACGACAGACCCCGATAAGATTCGAGCGATCCAAGAGTTTCCAGCACCTAAAAAGATTAAACAATTAAGGGCCTTTTTAGGTCTATGCAATTTTTATAGAAGGTTTATACCAAATTACAGCGAGAGCATAATACCGCTCTGTGAATTACTTCAAAAGGGACGAAAGTTCCAATGGAGCGGTAAAGAACAGAAGGCATTTGATTTTATAAAATAACAATTTATTAATACAATACAATTGCATCATCCAGACTTTAATAAGCCGTATTATTTACAAACAGATTGTTTCGGTGTGGGTATGGCCGGAGTACTATATCAGATAGATGATAATAATGAAATGAGAATTTTAGGCTATCATAGTATAGCCTTAAAAGGCCCCGAATTAAATTGGTCTGTTACTGAACAAGAGTTTTATGCTGTAATAAGCTGCCTAAAGAAATTTGAAACATATTTGCGGGGCAGTAAAGTAATAATACTAACTGATCATAAAGCATTATTGTTTTTTAATAATATGAAGTTATTCAATGGTAGAGTAACCCGATGGATTTTGTATATAGAACAATTTAATTATGAAGTACAGCATATATCGGGTAGACGTAATATTGTTGCAGATGTGCTATCACGTTATCCTCCTGATGGCGATTTAATACAAGAGGATAAAAATAATAGTTTAGAAATTGCTTACACAGAGAGCGAACCGAATATTGAGTTGATAGAAAAATTAAAATCCTTATCAGTATATCAATTACAAGATTCAGAGTCGTTGGCTATTATTGAAAAGTTAAAGACATTAAATACTTCCATAATAAAACAAAACAATAATTTTAAAAGGTATAGTTTGAAAATGATGTATTATATTACAAAACGAATTTACAAGAAGTAATATATTTACCTAAAGCATTGAGACAAGATATTATAAATCAAGTGCATGTCGAAATGGGTCATCAAGGACCCTATAAGGTAATTAAATATGTGAGAGACAGATTCTTTATGAAAGGTTTAAAAAAAAGATATTAAAAACCAATTAAGGGCTTGTCATTTATGTCAGTTATCTAAGAAAAGCAATATAACATATGTGCGTCCCTGCAAATCTATAATAACAGAAAACATTGGCGTTATAGTCATGGCAGACTTATATGGACCACTTGTATCAGGTACCTTTGGGTACACTTTCATATTTGTCATTCAAGATTCATTCAGTAAATTTATCAAATTATATCATTTAAAACAGTCAACAGCAAAGTCTGTTGTAACAAAAGTAAAGCATTTTGTTGAGATTATAAAGCCCAAGGCAATAATGACAGATAATGGAAAACAGTTCGTAAGTAATCACTGGAAACAATCAATGAGTGAATTAAATATAAAGCCAATATATACCACAGTTAGAAATCCTAGACCAAATACAACAGAGCGAGTAAATAAAGAGTTGAGCAGATTATTTAGGACGCTTTGTCATACTAACCACAAAGATTGGGCGTTAATATTGCCGAAATTAGAAGAATTGTATAATAATTCTTATCACAATAGTACAGGCTTCACGCCTTATGAGATTCTTTATGGTGAGTCTAATGAGATGTCTTTTGACAAAGTAATTTCCAAAAGTAAAGACAAACATAATGTCGGACAAATTAGACAACAAGTGCGTAAAAATTTAAAAGAGGCAAGTCGAATAAGAAACACAAAATTTGATAAGCGAAATAGATTAATAAAATATAATATTGGTGACTTAGTAAAAATTTCAAGATCTAGTAGATCAGACGCTGATAATAAAGTTATGAGTAAGTTCAATTTGGCATATGAAGGACCTTATGTAATAGCAGCCGTACCATTTGACAATGTATATACCTTAGCAAATCCAGAGACAAACGAAATTAGAGGAATTTTCAATGCTATTCACTTATTAAAATATTTTAAATAATAATTTCTTTTTGTATAAATTAGAGTAATTAAATAAATATTGTAACATAAAAGGGTTTTGTGGGTGGCCCATGGAAATAATTGTTTAAGTTAAAGGTCTAAAATTATTAAAGTTATGAGCAAGAGATTTGTTATATGATAGTAGAACGTTATTAATATATAATGAAGAGTTGTAATTATAGATCGTAAGATAATTTTGTAATCATTTTTATTAAATAAATATGGGAGTTGGGTCAGGGCGAATGGCTCAAACACATTTATCCTATGTGGTATCGAACTGACCTCAACAAATATCAAACTGGATTGTATGCACATAAAGTGTGACACTATCGAAATAATGTTTCAAAGATTTAAAGATAAATTAATAAAATAAGAAATCGACAATTAACTGCAAACTTTATTAACAACACGATATACAATAACTTGAATTATGGTGTTATCACATTGTGATAATTGTGGTTGAAGGGGTGTTGGTGGCGGCCATTCTCTGGGGCAGGGGGATTTGATAACATATGCCGTATTGTAACAGATTAAAAGAGGAAAGAACAGATATATAAACAATTATTTGAGTGTAGTGTATATGCTCTCAAAATATTAAATTTTATATTAACGACTCCACTATGTGGATCATTAACATAAAATTTGGGGGTGGATTGTGACGCCTCATAATTATTATTAATAAATAATAATTAAATTTATTATACAGACATTTAAAAATGTCTTAGAAATTATAATTTAAACAATAAAATGCAAATAATAAGCATAGAGATCAAAAATATCCATTTGGAATATTGAATATTATATATATTAGTAAACGCATAAAATGTCTCTAAAAATCTCTAAATTTATTAAAAACCTGCTTAAAATGTTAAAATTGTATCAAATCATATAAATACAAGGCGATTATATTGCAATAACAAAGATAAATAACATTTGTAATATAATAGAAAAAATGGATTAAAATTTTCTAAGTTGATGAAGGTGTTCGTGTAATAATTGGAAAATTTCTAAGTTAATGAACGTGTTCATGTAATGTTCCCTTATATTGGGGCGTTGTCGGAGACACATACCCAAGGTTGTACATATATATGGGGTGGTCGGCTGACCGACTGCTAGTACTAAGGTTGCACAATGACTAGTCCTATATTAGGGACTTAACATAGTAAGGTCTGACGAACCAAAGCATTAATATAGAAGGTCTCTATGATGCATAAGCATTATAATAGCAGAGTTATGACTTGAAGTCCCATATGAATAAGACATACAGTAGTATGGTCTATGAAATAAAGCAAATATGTGGAAGGTCTCAAATATGTAAAAGCATTATATTGAAAGAAATGGGACTTGAAAAGGATTATTATAGTGGCGTGTAGGTTGCTTCGCAGCCTCTGAGACCGAGGTAAACTTGGACTCACTAACCGATGTGTCCTAGACATATCATCTTAGTGCCGGTGGTAAGCGAGTTTGTTGTAGCAATACGACTTGCCCGTGGACATCGCACACCCCTACCGGTTGTGGGCGGCGTCTTAGCGCATAGCGTTATGATACGTCGGCTATCTTTCGGATTAGGGTGAGTGTGTTTGGTAGTACTTTTAAGTGCAGCAAGCATACTCAACTTCATGTCTTAGTGCAATAGCGCTATGATACGTGGAGTTTTGGCTACTGACGTCTTAGTACCGTACTACTATGATACGTTGGTGGTATTTTTAGTTAACAACATTATCAAATTTTGTTACCAAAGTCGATAGGGATCATGTGGGTGTGTTGTGAGGGGGCGCCATCCGTATGATAGTTGCATTGATGCTTACTGCTACTTGCAGTATTGTGTCTTGTGATGGATCTGCGGGTGTGCTGCACCTGATTCGATGCATCTTGTGGTTCTGGTCGATGGAGGTCTGCGGGTGGTGATGTCTGCTGGGACTGTATGGGGGACCTTGGGATGGTGTAAGCCCGACGATAGTCGTATTGATGCTTGTTGCATTCTGTAGCATTGCGTCTCTACGATGGTTGTTTGGCGGGTCGCTATTCTCAATGGCGCTCTCTGCGTCTTGGTTTGACTCACAACCTAAGTAGCTTTGCCCAAGTCGGGTCCCTTCATTGCGGGGCTGCAGACTGTCTGCCCTCCATGATGTTTTATATAACAACTTAATAATATATCTCTATAAAGTTCCCACCTTTGAGAGATTGAAGGCAACTTGTTGGTGGGTGAGACAAACATGATCGAAAAATGCATATACTCAACGTCAGTGACACAAACCCTTTCTGATGGCGAATTATTACTATTATCTTATAACTGCCTATTGGCTATATCTGCCATTGTATTGGTTGGTGGAGCATATGTGTTGACCTCATGCGGGTGGTAGCTGGAGGGAGAATCTGAGGAGGCTCTCAAGGCTGCGGCCGAAAGCCGCGCAACGTGGGACCCCATTCCCTTGAGGTGAGCGGTAGACTCATGACACGCTCTGCGGCCAATTGGCCGTGCTGACCATGCAATTGGTGGTGATGCCTTACACTTACATCACGTCTGCAGGAACGGCGGTCTGGCAGGTGGTGGCGCTCACGGAAGGCTTTTTATGGTCAGTGTGCCTATTGTTGCCTAACCCGTGTGACGTACATTCACTGTGGCTGGATTTGATCGTATTCTGTATGGCGTTTACACGCATTGACATGCGCGACTTCGGTCGATGTTTGTGCTTACGCACTATCAAGGGGCCAAGTCCTCTTTTACTGGTTCGCCAGTTATTTTGCTGTGGACTACGGTCCAGTTCCCAACTTTGCGTACCCTTCGGGGGGAGCGCATTAAAATGGTTGGCGCTCACCGTGCGCGGCGTGTGTGGGGCCGTGTACCTCCTCCACATTTTTTTTAAAATGTGGGAGAGCGAAGCCCTTGTAACTGGTATTTGATATAAATATTGTGAGCCTTTTCCAAGCGGGAAGGGATTAATTAATAAGGAATTGACTGTTGTGAACCAGATACAAGTGGAATAGGGACAATTTATTGTTCTTAACCTTTTTGAGTTCTGTCTTCGTGAACGGGGTTCTTTAGCTTATAAGACTCTACCACCAGCTTTCGATTGCTCTCGTGAATATTCATTCTTCCAAGATACACCTAAAAGAACTAAGTTACTATACAAACACAACGTAAAAAAGGGTCCTAACTAAGACGATCACGCCATAAATTTATTAAACGGCCTATATTTAAACCTTTAGAAAGATCAAGTTATACTGGTCACGTAAATTAGATGTATTTATATATCTTACAGGTATAGATTCTAAAGAAATACAAGTATAAGTGGGATA